TTTGTTTTTTTAATCATAATATTTTAGGTCGAATATTTTTCGATCTTTAAAGAGATTTGAACCTGAAAGAAAAAAGTAGTTTCCAACAAAATTTAAACTCCTATCCCACATCTCTGAGGCTCGTCTTACATGGACTAGTGGTCCAGAAAATCCTAATAACAAAAAACTAGTTAAAAATTAATTATGAAAATACTTGATCGCAGAATTTAACCCATATCATTCTGGTGTCAATTTTTAAACGGACGCCTTCTTTTTCGTATACCTAAGATATAATTATATAAAATAATTATCGAAACTTGGAAATTTCAATGAAACATTTTGGAAATTTTCAAAGTTTTATCTGAAATCAATAAAATGTGGCCTTTAATCAAAATGGTCACAACTGAGAGGAAAAAATGAAGGTGTCAGTTGTACCCATATCCTTTTGCTTCAGCTTAAATAGACACCTAATTATCTTATATATGGAAAAATGAAGGCATCGGATGAAACCCTATAAAGGTGACAGTTTAAACGGACACCAGAAGAATATGGGTTAAATATGTCAGACAATGCAAAGAATGCACTATATTCACCCATATAGTCCTGTCATTAGTTTAAACATATACTTTCTTTTTTCTATATATGTAAATTATAATTATTAGCTATAATTTTTGAACGTGAAAAATTAAAATATGTTAGAAGTTTTCATTTGAAATAAAAAAAAGGAACATTTAGCAAAATGGTTGAAATATATGGGGGAAAAAAAGGCGTTAGTCTCAACAGACGCCAGGAAGATAACGGGCTACATAGCTTCCGATTTGATTCGATATGATGCAAGCTCTTGAAGAAGTATAGAAACAGATAAAAGTATAGAGTCTGTCTTGTATAAACATTTAGCACATTGCAAAACCTGATGTCCGTTTGAGGAATGAAGATGAGTATTACTATACAAAACTACTTGAAATTTTACAATTACATACATAAAATGATTTCGGAGTACCTCTGCTAAATGTCAGCATTTCTCCTCATTCATTTTCAAACTTCTATTCATCCATTTAAATTGTTTCATTAATATCATTACTACTAAATGAGATTCGTATAAATTCTATTCTCTTTTGAAATCGGACATGAAATAATATATTTTTTAATGATTGAAGAATCAAATTACAATTTTACATCTGCTTCCCTTAAAATCAGTACAATCTTAACCTATTACATTGAGCACTGTCTTGAAAAAATAAAAATATCTATAAGAACACCGGATTATATATATTACTGTTCTTTCTTTTTACTACTATAATATATATATATATATATATATATATATATATATATATATATATATATGTGTGTGTGTGTGTGTGTTTGTGTGTGTATGTATGTATTATATATATATATATATATATGTGTGTGTGTTTGTTTTTGTTTGTTACTCTATATTTACAAGAGGCAGAACAGACCAAAAATGGAGTGAAAAAAAGGTTTCAAATTATTGTTTTTGTCTGTTTTGTATTGTTGTTTTTTTATTTTTATTAACTTATATTAAATTATAAATTGTTTATAATTGACTCAAAGGGAAGAGTGCCCAATGTCATGGACAGGGCCTTTGTAGAAATAGACAGCCTAGACATAGAATTCAACACTCTACGTTTGATGATCTTTTCAGGTGTGAAAATTCCAGTCATCATCCAGTATTGATTTTCCTGTCCACCCTGATTATACTCTGCGCGTGTACGTGTGCGCGCGTGTGTACGTGTTACAAAAATTATTTTCGCAAATAATAGATACTTCAATTATTTCCCGCCAAATAAAAATAAATGTTCTTGTGAATAAATTTCTGATAAAATTTCTTTTTTCTTAATGCTAAAATTTCTAATTGCTTTTTTCTTAATGCTGATATTTGAATTCTGCTGATTTTATGTCTACAAAATTTATTTTTTTCTAAAACGTCCATTCCTTATTGTAAGTTAAGGCGCATCACTGACATCTTGACGAGGCATCAATTTCAGTTTTCCTCTTTACAATCCAGTACGCCCTTACAAATATTCCTTGGGTAATGTGACGTCACTCGATTACAAGGGGAAATACTTGTAGCTTCAAATAATTAGACTAGGTTACTTCCCTTGCATACAACTACATCATACAACTGCTATTAATAGTTTATGTCGAATTTCATCTGAGAAGATAAACGTATTAGAACATTTTCTCGTATCCGATAAAGCTTTAATATGTCTTCTACGATTATCCACACTTTCTTCAAACAAAATATTATTTAAATTGAATTAATGAATGGAAATATTACATAATTGTTTGAATGTCTTAAACTTTTGTCATTATTATTAATTATATTACTTTTTCATTCAGTTTATAATTAATTTCTCTCTCTCTCTATATATATATATATATATAGAAACATATATATATAATATATATATGTGTGTGTGTGTGTGAGAAAGAGAGTGACAGTACGCGCATGCGCGTGTATTTGTGTGTGTGAGAGAGAAAAAGTATTCATATCTAAAGCGATCATCAGACGTTATATATGGCATCCGCTGGCCTAGTTTACCAAAGAAACATATTGTCTAGAATTATTCTGATGGAATATTACACGCCTTCTGTTTGTCTAACTGGGAACAATATATTTTTATATCAATCGTTTACTTCACCAGAAAGAACTGATATTAGATTACTCTCTTGCAATCCCATTATATGAAATGCATCAAACTTGAATAAAAACTGAACTTTGATATTGTTAATGGTGGTTTATTTTACATGTCTGACAATATCTTGCGATCTACATTTTTGTAAACTATCAACTCCTCATCAACCATCAGAATTTGCTTCCGAAACTGAAAAACTTTGTTGCGTTTATTAGGGATTCACACGCGGAAATAGAGCCGAGTTGATTTTTTTTCATTTATGTCGAAGCCACACATCAAAGTGGCTAACATAACTAAGAGTGTTCAAATTATTTTCCATGCTTGATTTGGGTATTTTTCTGTTATATTAGCTGTCTCCAGCATCATAGAACGTTCATTATTCTCATTTCATGAATTGATTTCTACTCGACTGTGGATCATCGTTCAACAAGAAATCTCCAGCACGTTACGTCACAAACCACTTTCGACACGTTCAATCATTCACAATACCTTCTTCATTAACCACACAATTTTTCCTTTGCTTTTTAACCGCGTTTTTATCTTTCTTATGATTAAAAAGCATGTTGATAAGAATCTTCTATTTTCAATAAACAATAATAATTTTGACAAAATCTTTACAAATATACACGTTAATATGACAGCCATTAAAAGACAATAAAAAACGATTTTTAATGTTGTTAACACGAAGCACCCATAATACTATCTATCACACAGAAGAAAGTTTTTCATCAATCCAATATTAAGGTTTGAAATTACGTTCTTTAACATAGACCATATTAATAACTCAAGCATGTATAGGTGTTGGCGTTTCTTGACACTTGTCTAAACCGAAATTGATGTGCGAAATGTAAGTAATTATTCAGTTCCCTTTCTATGTACGAGGTGTTGCCGAAAAGTTATCATCCTGAGCCACCTCTCAAACCTGAGCGTTATTTTGTCACCCCAGCTGGAAAGAGTACCTTTTATATTTTTAAAGTGTCAACTTGCAGGAAACCTGCGCTTATTGTTGAGTGTGTTTCAGATCATTAACTGGACTATGACAACGCAAAGTGTTGGATTTTCAAGTGTTGAACTCTAGGCCGTCAGGAAATTTCTGTTCCTGCAAGAGAAGAATACTCGAAAGGAAATCAATAAGTGCGTGAAGGGGACATTTCGTGGCTTGTGACCGTCATACTAAACTATAAACTGGTGTGCCAATTCCAGTATGAACATTTTGAGACCCAAGTTGTAACACGGCTCATGGCCTAAATTTAACCGATCGATTTATCTCGGCGAATAGAATTTCTGAGACACTAGAGATATCCAGAGGATAAATTGGGTTTATCAGCAGTTGGTTATATATGTGCACATACCAGAATTGTGCTCACCCTTGTAATTTCTATGGACCAACAACTATTGGGTGAACGTTGATTCTTCAGAGTAGTTCTTAAATGACGAACAAACTTTAAAACCCAATTTCTCTCTACTGATAAATGGAATTTCTTTTCCGAATTTTGTTGCTTCTATTTTCTTACCTTACTTTTTGTTTTTTGTTGTTTTTTTTTGTATGTTTTTTATTTTGTTTTGTGTGTTGCTGTAGTTTTTGTTATATTTTTTGTATTGTCTTTTTTTTTGTGTCGTCTTGTCTTTATTTATTTGGGGTTTTTTTCTGTTGTTTTCCTTTGTTTTAGATTTTTGACTTTTTTATTTGTTTGCTTTTGCTTTTTTTCTTTTGTTTTGCGTATTGTTTTTGTCTATATTTTGTTTTTGTTGGGTTTTTTTTTCGGTACTGTATTTTGGTTTTGTTTTATTTATTTTTTGTTTATTTGCTTTTCTTGTTGCAGTTAATTTGCATTGTTTTTGTTGTGATTGCTTTTTTGTTTTAGATTTTTTAATACTTTTTGGTCTTGTTTTATTTTATCTTGAGTCTGGTGCTGTGGAGTTTAACTTGCTTTTTTTCTTTTAGCGTTGTTTTGTTTTTGTTTTTGTTTGAGCTTATTTGGTTTTATTTCTAATCTTTTTTCTTTGTTGTTGTGGTTTTTTCTTTTTGTTTTAATTGTTTGTTTGTTTTTTGTTTTTGTATTTTTTTTTTTTTGCCTTTCACTTTTCTTTTGGTCTTGTTATTGTTGCTGTTGTTGTTGCTGTTGTTCTGTTTTAATCAAGGCCACAACCTTTGGACAAAACATGGTGGAACAAAGTTTTCGGTAACAAGTTGTCTTAGCGATGAATAAGTTGATAACAAAGCCAATAAGAAACCAAGTATAACAACCGCGATATGAAGTCCTTTTTCGTAAACTGACAAAGGGCTGAAAAATAAACGTTAAAATTCATCAAACAAAATATTATGCATATCATTAGTTGATGTGTTTGCGTGTGTGAGTGTTATGATGAGAACAAGATAGATAGATAGATAGATAGATAGATAGATAGATAGATAGATAGAATAGATATGAACATATTGAGATAGATATGAACAGGATTAGATAGATAGATAGATAGATAGATAGATAGATAGATAGATAGATATGAACATATTGAGATAGATATGAACAGGATTAGATAGATAGATAGATAGATAGATGATAGATAGATAGATAGATAGATAAATAGATAGATAGATAGATAGATAGATATGAACAGGATTAGATAGATAGATAGATAGATAGATAGATAGATAGATAGATAGATAGATATGAACATATTGAGATAGATATGAACAGGATTAGATAGATAGATAGATAGATAGATAGATAGATAGATAGATAGATAGATAGATATGAACATATTGAGATAGATATGAACAGGATTAGATAGATAGATAGATAGATAGATAGATAGATAGATAGAATAAAATAAAATCCTTTACTTACACTGTATTCCCTGATTGGTTCTGTTTCTTCAGTTTTAAGTAAAAAAGTGATGGGAATATGAAGCTTAGCATCGTGATTGTCGATCCACCAATGAATGACAGGATGGAACCGAAGTTGGGAATTGTCTCGGCAACAAACACAATACACAGGAGCAGGAGGGTTCGAATGACACACCTTTTCCAGTTAAATTCTTTAAAACGAAAATAGAAAAATATTTGTTGTAGCTATGAAAAAAAATGTAATTTATAATATAATTATTGTTTAAAGACATTCGATTTCTGCTCAATAGATATAATTCTTTACATCCACGGCCCAGGGGGTGTCAGGAAAGGCTTCATGCTCCCAACACACATTTTACTGGAGCTAAGAACTATACAAATGATTAAATGTGTCTTCAGACTATAAGAGTGGTATTGAATGAATAGTATCATTTATCTAAAGACATTAATTAAGTCCACTAATTTTAAAAATAAATCACCATTTTTTTTTAAAGCGCATTATCTTTTACAACTTTTTATATGTCTTATATACAGAAAATTGGATGGCAACCGGTCTAGGAGAAGGTAACCGGCCTGGAGATGGTTGGGCTCCATCAGACTATCTTGCCCAAGTAACACCACATCTACTGCGGTTGAAATACATGTGCTGCCCCTTCGACCCTGATGGATCACGGGATTTGCGATCGCGCGATCGATATGCAGAAAAAAAATACAAGCAAAAATAAATTGTGTATTAAAAATAAAAATAAAAACATTTACGTTAAGATCTAAAAGATCTATAAAAAAAAAAGAAAAATTTTATGGAGGGATCAGTTAAAAGGGATTTAAAATCATGAATTTTAAAACTTAATATCTGAATTTTCACCCTCGCTTTATCATCTAATTTAGCCTCAAAACACATATTATATTTTGTAACGGTCTTCTCTCAAAATATGGACTTGGGTAACCAATATTTAGTTAACAAGTCATAATGGTAACAAATTGATTCATAAAATTGACTTTTGTTTTATCTTGTCTCAGAATTGAGCAGAAAACAGATAATTGATTCAATAGGGAATTTTGTTTACTTACGCGGCGAAATCTGTAGAAAGCTCTCCAGCTCAAGGCAAATGGGATTTACAATGATGATAAACGCTAATAAAATATGAATGAGAATTGTTACTTGGAGCATATCAAGCGAAGTGCTATTGGAAATATTAGCTAAGACGTTGCTGTCCAGAATATTGCCGTAAGCCAAGAACCCCATCACTGCAACTGGTAGGTAAATCAGACAAGTTACTGCCAAAAAAAAAAAAAGAAAAAAAGTGACAAAGAAAATTTGTAAGATTAGCTGAGTATATTGTAAGAGAAGTAACTAAGCGCAGATTATGAGGATATACAAGATACTTAAAGGTTGACCCAAGACTTTAAAAGGTTGAGATTATAGTGATCGGGAAAGCATCCTCTCGTGAATCTGATCCACAAAGTAGTGATTCTCGAGAAGAAGATGCCGGAGTGGAATACAGACAAACACAGACACACACACACACACACACACACACTCTCTCTCTCTCTCTCTCTCTCTCTCTCTCTCTCTCTCTCTCTCTCTCTCTCTCTCTCTCTCTCTCTCTCTCTCTCTCTCTCTCTCTCTCTCTCTCTCTCTCTCTCTCTCTCTCTCTCTCTCTCTCTCTCTCTCTCTCTCTCTCTCTCTCTCTCTCTCTCTCTCTCTCTCTCTCTCTCTCTCTCTCTCTCTCTCTCTCTCTCTCTCTCTCTCTCTCTCTCTCTCTCTCTCTCTCTCTCTCTCTCTCTCTCTCTCTCTCTCTCTCTCTCTCTCTCTCTCTCTCTCTCTCTCTCTCTCTCTCTCTCTCTCTCTCTCTCTCTCTCTCTCTCCAACAGAATACAGAGGAAATGAGGATGATTTCAGTTGGCGTACCTGATGTCATGGTGGGTTCTCGACGTGAAGGTCTGAACTGGTGAAACTAAGGGATATAGCTCGTCTGAACATACGAATGCTTTGCAAATGTCATCTACGTA